GTAGCCCTGTCAACAGTATGCGTTAAAATCAGAGGTTTTAGTTGCACAAACTTTTGGCCAAAAATATGTAGAAGCCACACTGCCGCGCCAAGGCACCTCTGCAAAGTGTGGTCCTAACTCTATGTATCCGAGTCTCCAAGTGTGAGCATATTAATGAAGTTGATAAATTACATGCAGGTGTACCTGGAGGTAGCCAACTCCTCCTGATAAGGTGCAGGGACGCACTGGAGGCCCAGCAACCAAAAATGCACGCTGGGACTCCAGTGCGTCCCCCTAACCCAAAATAGTAAAACTAGAAAAAAATGGTACATGCATGCATCTATAACCGGCCTTTATAGCAGGGCGCACATTGGGAAGGCTTACAACAATACAAAACACGCACTGGAGTCCCAGCGTGCATTTTTGGTTGCTGGGCCTCCAGTGCGTCCCTGCACCTTATTAGGAGGAGTTGGCTACCTCCAGGTACACCTGCATGTAATTTATCAACTTCATTAATATGCTCACACTTGGAGACACTTTCTAGTTTGCCCCCTTACATTGGTTACTAACGTAAGGGGGCATTTTGGTGGGGACAATTAACGGAAAGGGGCGCTCTGATGAGGACACCTAATGTAGGAAGCACTCTGATAGAACACAAACGATGAGTTCCCCCATCAGAGTGCCCTCTTACATTAATTATGAAATGAAGGGGGCGCTCCGACAGGGAACGCCAACGTGGAATGCCAACATAAGGGGACGCTCCGACGGGGAACGCCAACATAAGGGGGCGCTCCGACGGGGAACGCCAACGTAAGGGGGTATGGAAGGGAAATGGGATCCAGACTTCTGCTCAAACTAAATTTGACTCATCGGACCACCATGAACTTTAATTCAGTGCCCTGGTCCCTGGTATAGGGAACATGCCAGGGTCTGCCTTGATACAAACCCTGAGTTGATGACATATAGTTCACCAACATAACCCACTGACTCTTTTTCCTAAATAAAGTACTTTTCACCTTTTCTTCATTCAATACAACCGATTTCACCACTTCCATTCTACATGAATGAACCAGCCCATAGACAGCCCTCACACACTGCAGACTGGAAGTGACCGTACTGTATTCATTCACCTACTATGACAGTGCTTATCTCCAAGTACATTCCACTTACCGCTCGGCTCCGGCTCACTGACATCTTTCTCCTTCCTGCTCCACACTGCCAGCAGCAGGATGATTCCTCCGAGCACTACAGACACAGCCAGCAGCGCCACCACCTCCATGTCTGTCCCTCACTCAGCCACGTCAGACCGAACGGGAGCGCGCACGGGGGCGCTGTTTTTTTTCTTCCAACAAATCTTTATTGCACGTCAGCATTAGCTGACACAGCGGGTGTGGCTAAATTAGGAGGGCGGGGCTAGAGGGCTGTATGATCTTCCAAATCACACGACTTTTCCATAACAATATCGGTAATATGCGCCCCTTCTTTTCTGGGGTCAGTGCTCTGTAATCAGACCGTGTTTACCTATATACAGAGATTATCATGTGCAGGGTTATTCCATGCTGAGCACTGTAAGTCAGCGTTCTCAACATTTTTAAGTCGTGGCACCATTTGAAAGTATGCAAAATCTTGAGGCGCCAAAGTGTAAATGATCAGAAAATATTAAAAATGACGTGTAGTCAACCCTAAAAAATTATTTCAGACCCTCATCCTACATAGAGGTCTGGTATGGATTTGAAGGCTTCATTCACAGCGTGTGATTTGGGATTCTTGCGGCAGAAACATGGACTCCTGTGTCAGGAATCCCAAATGTCAAGTTTAGATGTGGCCGCTGTCAACCGTTCAAGTTAAAGACCAGGTGACTGCTACCGCATCTGTATGTGATTTGGAATAGAGCACTATCCCTGGATGCATCTCATTGGGAGATTTGGGATTCCTGACAGAATCTCAAATCACACACTCACATGTTGTGTGAATAAAGCTTTAGGGGGGGACTCCATGCCAAAAACAAAAAAATTACAAGTTCCCACCTTCATATCAGAAGCCCCTCTTTCCCATTAGATCCATTCCTTTCACATAAGAAGCCTTCACTTAAGGAGTACACTTCACATCAGAAGGCCCCTTTCACTTCAGGAGTCACCCTATACATTAGAAGTCCCCTTTCATTTCAGGAACCTCCTCCCCCTTCACGAGTCCACCTATACATTACAAGTTCCCTTTTCATTTCAGGAACCTCCTCCCCCTTCACATCAGAAGGCCCCTTTCACTTCAGGAGCCCCCCTATAAATTAGAAGACCACTTTTCATTTCAGGAACCTCCTCCCCCTTCACATCAGAAGTCCATTGTTATTCCAGGAGCCCCCTATACATCAGAAGTCTCCTTTTATTTTAGGAGCCCCCCTTCATATCAGAAGCCCCCTTTCACTTCAGGAGCCCCCCTATAAATTAGAAGTCCCCTTTCATTTCAGGAACCTCCTCCACCTTCACATCAAAGGGCCGTTTTTACTATTGGAGCCCCCTTCACATTAGAAGCCCATTGTTACTTCAGGAGCTCCCTATACATCAGAAATCTCCTTTCATTTAAGGAGCCTCCCTTCATATCAGAAGCCCCCTTTTACTTCAGGAGTCCCCTTGACATCAGAAGCCCCCTTTCATTTTAGGAGCCCGCTTCCTCGCATCAGAAGCCCCCTTTTACTTCAAGAGCCCCCTTTACACCAGAAGCCCCCCTTTCATTTTAGGAGCCCCATCATATCAGAAGCCCCCTTTCACTTCAGGAGCCCTCCTTTACATTAGAGTTTTTAGTCCCTACTTCACATCTTAGCCTACCTTAGTCCTACCTTATATTGTTCACTACAATGCGGCTGAATGATGGGAAACTCCTGCATGAAGCCCACCCTGGATTAGCATCATTGCTTAGTGACTGACTCGCTTGCATTATGGAAATGCATGACACTGTGTGGAAACCTGAAGGCACCCCTGACCAGAAAGCAGCCCAGGGACCTGTTACCTTGGTTGAGAAAGGCTGCTTTAAGTATTTTGGCAACAATTAGCTTTACCCTCAACATAAGGGTAGCCAATATATTTTTCTAGTTTCAGCTCTTCTTGTGAAGGTTGAGACTGGCCTATGCCATTCTGATTTATGAGCCTCTGTAAATTTCCTTATTGGTACTTTAATTTGGTGATTGGGATCAATGACCAATTGGGAGGGGACATGGTTGACTATATTGGAAAAGTCAAGATTTGCATATCAATTTAGCTGCTTATATCTCTTGATTTAGGGCCAATTCACACCAGCAGCTGCATTAGGACGCAGTCACTGGGGCTGTGGTTTTTGTTGAGCCTGTGAAGGCTGTGGTGTAGTTGAGCTGGAGACAGCGCAACACACTGTAACCTTATGAAAATTTCAAAAATACTACATTTTATTCAATTCTTTAGGCCTCAGCACCGTGCAACGCGGTGGATTGCTTGCATGCCGTCATTTTATTTTCAGCGCACCCCACTGCAGCACGGTGATATAAACTGTGCTGTCTATGCCTTGCCTATGCGTTGGGACTGCGTTGGGAAAGGCTGACCAGTGCAGTCCAATGCAGCTGGTGTGAACAGGCCCCTACTAGTTATTCTGAATTCGCTAAAGGTAAACCTCTTCCTATGCATTTTTTAAACGTATGTTTCGTATGCTGAAGCCCAAACTTTATCTTTGGTCAGAGTGGTGAGGGGTTTATTGGGAGATCAATTCGCTGTAATTGTCCTGGTTACCACCATCACTAGAACTGAAAGTAAGAGGTAATCTAAAAGTTTGAGTTGTCACCAGAACAGAAATAAAGGGGAAATCTTCCATCAGGGGCACTTGTGTTAATGACGTCTGTCTAAGAGGGGATTTTTTTTTTACTTAGGAGAGATTTTCTATTACTTCCTGTTGTGTCTACAGGAACATCTCCCCAATAATGATATAGAGGAGAAAACAAAAATACTTAAAGTGATATTAAACCTTCATTTTTTGTTGTTGTTTTATAATGGGGAGGTCCACACTTACCTGAGTCCGGTGTTCTTCTTTTTAAACTGCTCTTCTTTCTTGTGCTTCAGCTTGTCCCAAATTATCTCTCTCTCCTTCCCCATTTGCGGGTGTCTCCTTCAGCGACCCGGCTGCTGAGGAGACACCCGTGCATGCACGCTGCAGGCTGTGCCCACATCTAGCTGTGTGCGTTCCAAGCCCCTCATCTCTTCCCAACTGATTGGCTCATGGCAGAAGGAGCCAATCGCTCCTCTGCCCTCAGTACCCTCCCCCCCCCCCAAACCAGGAAGTGTGAGGACCAGCGAAGACTTGACAGACCCAACAGTGGTGACCAGTGATTGGAGGTAAGTATGGGGCACACAGGGCAACTTGGAAAGGTGCTGGGCTTTTTTACCTTAAAGCAGAGAATGCATTAAGGTAAAACATGCCCAGTCTTTAGTACCACTTTAACAGGGGTTTTAAAGCCTATTTGCACCTTTGCGTAGATACCGTATATACTCGAGTATAAGCCAAGTTTTTCAGCCCATTTTTTGTGCTGAAAAGTGCCCCCCTCGGCTTATACTCGAGTCAGCGTAAGTAGCTGCCTCATTTCCCACCCTCGGCTTATACACGGGTCAATATTTTTTCCCAGTTTTTTGTGGTAAAATTAGGTACCTCGGCTTATATTCGGGACGCTTATACTCGAGTATATACGGTATTTAAAAAAAAAAAAAACATGCCAGAAATGTACTCCGAGTAGATATGAAGCAGACATATGCAGTTGCTGTATAGTGTTCAGGAGTAGGTAATGCATGGAGTTGCTGTATAGGGTTCAGGAGAAGGTAATGCATTGAGTACAGGGAGCAGTTCGGATCGCGCTGAGCCACGCGGTCGCATGAACGGTCCCCATAGCAATGTACAGGATCGTTCATGGTGGCAGATCCCCGTGGCCGAACCGCCCCTGTGTGAACGGGGCCTTAGTGGTGGTACTAGTTTGAAGAGTGCAGCAAAAGTAACACAAGGAACACTGTATATAATACACTGTCAATGTTTAAGTGAGGTTTACAAAGAACACACAGTTCCACAATAAAATGGACAGAAAATACAGAAGACATAAAAATCCGAAACAATGGTAACACTGGGTGTATAAAGAAGAGGGAACATGAAACACTGGCTCACAGAGCTCAGATTGCATTTTCAGATGTCAGGCACTTCTCAGGAATATGTCAGAGTTCTCTATTAAGGCCGCAGCAGTATATATCCTGTCTGGATGGCTGCCCTAGTAGAAGTTATCTCCGCTCTCTCCTCGGGTGACTGCTTGCACTGCTTGCTCTGGCATCAAGGATGGGTCAGTCAGTATGGATGTTGAGGTGCTGAGCTGGCACAAAGAGCTCAATACCGCTGAAGTAAAACAAAAAGTAACAAACAATTATTCAAGGAAGACATTCATGACATTTTAAAGTAAACCTGTCATGAGATAAATATGGGAGTTACTAATGCTCTGAAAATGCTAGTTGCCTGCCTATTGTGTTGAGCCACTAGCTTTGACCCGGTACAAAAATGCAACCAGGAGGTCAGAGACTCAAAACAGATTGCATCCAGTGGGTCAGCATAATAGCCAAGCAAGTACAGTAAACTCCCCATTAACTGGCATTCAAGCAACCGGCATTCTCAAGCAACCGGCAAAAAAAAAATCGAGGGCATAATTTTTTTTGCCAGTGGATTGCCAATTGCTGGTTGTTTGGTGCACAGTACACTAAAAAATGAGTTGGCAACTACATTTATTTAGTTGCTAACAAAAAATTTTATTTACTTTTTGCTACTGTGGTTGGCAGCAGAATGTAAGCAATGGGGAAAAATACCCAGCATGCTATTGGCTATTTCAAATAGCAATAGCCAATAGCAGGCCGCCTACTGTACCTGCCCACTGAGCAGAGCAGACATGAGAGAGATGTTTGCTTAAGAGTTACTATTAACTCTCAAGCAACCAGAAACGACAGTTATAGGGCAGATACCAATCCCTGTGGGGCCTGGATAACTGGGAGTTTACTGTAGTATTTTCTGAAGAAGAGCTCAGCAATGGCAGCCTCTATGTTGCTATGATATGTACTGTATATTGCTGGCTTGCTTTCACCTTCTTGCTTTATGTTTGATATGTGGTAAAGCATAGCTAAACTGTTACTACAGTCACTACACACGTTACAATCTGACTGCACAATCAACTTTAGATTCACCAATACTATATAATAATAGGATTTACCTAGTCTACCCAATCAGCAGGTCCTTGCATTATATAGTTGTTGGTAGATCTAGAGGAGATTGGTGTGTGGTGAGCTTTAGTCCCCTAACTGCGCAGTTAGGCTTCTTTCGCACATGCATTCTGTCACTAAGTCTGTAATCTATCCCCATGGGCAGCTACATGTAAACAGATCTGCATCCGTTTACAATGCGGTCTGTTCATCTTGGTTGGACTAAACCCAATAGCTTTGCATCCACATCCGCTTTTGCATACCTGAATGGATGTAAATGGATATAAATAGAAGCACGCCTGTTTACATATTGCTGTCCATAGGGATCATTCATTCTTACTGTGGTGAACTAGTACTTTAATAAATCAACCACTTTGGTATGAAAGTAGTGAACGCACCTCCATTCCATCTCAACAGGGGATCCATAGACTGATTCCATGCTGAATCAGATCAGAATGGAAATTGATGTCACATTTATGTCCACTCTGATTATATTTCGTTTTTTTTTTCTAAAGCTTTCACCAGTTTAGAGCAGCCAAACTAATATATGGATTTACTATATAAGCTCATACTGCATTGATTTTATTTCCTTCAGTCTTCTATTGTTATAATATACCTTTGAAGCCTGAAGTTAGGACAGTAAATATGTCCATTTTTCCTCCATCACAGACCTATTTACTGTCCTAACTGCAGGCTTCAAAGGTATATTATTACAATAGAAGACTGAAGGAAAAAAAAATCAATGTAGTATGAGCATATATATTAAATCCATATATTAGTTTCCATTAGTTTGGCCACTCTAAATTGGTGAAAGCATAATTCTGGTTGGCTGCCAGGAGTAGATATGCTGCTCAATAAGCCCAGTCATTTATTTTACAATGTATTCCACGATGTGATACATATACAGTACATCTGTGTAATTTGGTCCTATATTATGTAGCTCAACAGAGCTTCTGTACATATTTTTTAAAGTGTTATTTCTTCATCAAGGAATGTCTCCTTGTACTATGTCCTCTGATAAGCTATTATTTATTTACTATATACTTACTAGGCCTCAGGGCAGGCAGGGAGCAGTGTTGGTCCAGCCAGTCCATAGCTGTCTCCCTGAGATCAGTCATACTCGATGTGGACACCATACGATTAAAGGAGTCAAACAATGGACGGATAAGGAGGCTAAACTATGGCCATGTTAAGGAAAAAATGCAGTATATATACAGTAAACTCTCATCTAACCAGAAAAAAGAAATCCTGTGTACTCACTGTTCTGCTGATCTGCGGCATGTATTATCCTGGAAATGATTGTGTCTATTTGTCTTAATTTGCTTTTGATTACTGCATTTCACTATTAATATGAAGTCAATACAGAGTTAATATTATGGTATGGTATAGTATGGGGTATGGCATTAGTTAGACCTATTTTTAATAGTAACTCTCAAGCAAGCAGAAACGACATTCATCCGGAACCTACCAATCCCCGTGGATGCCGGATAAGGGGGAGTTTACTGTACAATTTTCAATCAGAAATTGGTCAATATGAGTCCTCATGTCACTAATGTGGGTGTGTGAAAGAGGCGCTAGATTTTCTTGCTTTTGGAATCTCAAATAACTCTTCTTTGAAGTATTAAATATTATTAGCAGGGCTGCTCCCACACAAAACAAGGGACTCCCAAACTAGGAGAGGGAATCTTGAGTGAAATCAATTTGAGAACAGACAGTGGCGCCACCACTACTATTAGAGTCCAATGTAGCATTTTATTTATACAGATCAACAAAATAAAACAGCAAATGCATTTAGGGAGTAGGACCCCCAAAATGCCTTGGCTGTTTTATTCTGTTGATCAGTGGGGCTACCCCCGCACTGCAAGGATTAAGTCCTAATGTTTGTCTAGGTTTAAAAATAACAAAGTTATACTCACCCCATCTTCCGAGCCGGCTTGTTCTTATACCAGTTTCTTCTGCTTGTCTCCTCCTCCACTGCAGCAATGGTATGGCCTTTGGTTTGCTTGCTAGCAGTAGATATATGCAAACAAACGCGAGGGTTTAATTGTACTTTAACTAATAAGTTACTAAGGTGATGATAAATGATTTTATATTTAGTAACCAATTGGTAAGATCACCATAGTTGTGATTGTGTTATTGGAGCTTGATTTAGCTGCTAGCTATATAATAATGATAATTTTCTAAATGGTGATGTACTGGAGTCTGTGCAAATCCTGACCACTGTGTTCACTGTTCTAGTACGTGTCTTATCTTACTGCATGTCATGTACACTGGACCTCGAGCTGCACAGAATTATATGACAATTCCCTCCTAGAAGCACTACGAGGGACTTCCTGAATTTGTCTGCATTGGATATTACAAAACTCAGAGAAAGGTAGGTGGAGTGGACTTTGACTTTAGCGCAGTTGCAGTGTTTTATTGACATCATTAGCAGCACACTGACATTTCTCATTGCAGAATAATTAGTAGCCAACAATCAGAAAGCCTAACTGCTTATTTGCAGCTTCGCTAAATGTTAAAGGATACCAGCCAAAACTTCCAATTCTGCAGCGTCCTGCTCTGGACATAATTCTGGAACATTTGTCGCATATGCTGGAAATGCTGGTGTGTGACAGGGACTCCTGAGGCTGGCAGCTGCTGCTGGCACAGACTGTTAAATAAACACACACTACATTACTCTACATGTTATATCATACATGATAAGACAGTGCAAGTTGTGTTAAAAAATGTAAAACTGTTTAGTTGTAGATGTGTGAAGCTCGCTTACAACACTGTACTACTCCATGCAGAAGTGGATGCTGCCTTACTGCACAGCATAATAAAAGGAACACTCCACTTTTGTTAAAGCTGAACTCCAGGCAGACAGAAAAGGCACACACAAATTGCTCTGTATTCATGAATAAATAGTTAAATGTATTTTACATGCAAGCAGTGTAATTACCGGAATTGTACTTGGTATTAGCCTCTTATAGTGTATACAGCACAAGTCAAAGAGGGAGAGGGATAAGCAGGACAAGGAACCAATCAGGTGTGCCGCAGCACAAGAAGGAGGAGCGAGCAAAGTGACAGAAAGATGAGCTCATCAGTGTGCTGCTTCTTCTTTCACTATCCAGTCACAGGGTGGGGAGGAAAGCTGTAAATGAAAGTGAAATAGCAGAGAAAGATCAACTCCCCTCCCTTACTATACAGAGCTGAGCTGTTGGGCAGAACTGTGCAAATCTCAGAAGTGGAAGGACAGAAACACAAATCATTTGACAGGATAAAAGAAGTCTCTTATATGTAATTCATCGTTCCATTCATCTGTTTGCCTTGAGTCCAGCTTGAAAAAATCAGCATAACATAAAATACATAGCTGATACGCAAGCCATTTTGTAAAATAATGTTATATAAAGGAGAACTATGGGGTTAGGGCTTTTCCCCATAGTTCTCCGAAGGGTAACGGGAGGACACAAAACGTATACTGAGACATCGCAGCTGAAACGGATCCCGATAATTATGTCTGGATCCGCCCAGCTGCGTGAGTGACAGCTGGCTCTGCCTATCTACAGACAGAGCCAGCTGTACCCGCCCCCTCCCCCATCCGTTCAGCCAGTCAGCGCTGGAGGATCGGAGCGGGGAGGGGGTCCAGTCCACCCCTGTCACGGCTCTCTGCCGTGACAGGATCGAGAAGTGAGCGAACACCGGTATGTGTTCGCTCACTTCCCGATCTACTGAGCCGACCTGTGACAGTCTCATTGTCACAGGTCGGCTAGAACTAAGAGAATGAGTGAAAAGCACTCACCTCATAGTTCTCCTTTAAAATGCCCTTTTAAATTTAATTTGTAGCCAGCTGTAATTTTGCAAAATTCTGCCAATGCAGTATAATGGACATTGTCATTATTTTCAGCAATAAAAGTTAAAAACAACAAGCACATTTCTGAAAATAATAATTGTTTTGGCAAATAACACATGCAATATAGTAAATTGAGCCTAGCTAAGGTAGAGAATGCCTTCAGGAATCTTTCTTCCTCTTCCTACGATTGGCTCACTGTTTTCCCAGAGCTTGGGATAAAACTTTAGAATTGCTCAGCTTTGTCCTTCAGTATGCTAAAATGAGCCTTTGTTGTTTTATTGGGTTTGGCCATAATTGTACAATGATGTCTGGCCCTCCAGCTGTGGTGCAACTACAAATCCCATTAGGCACAGCCACAGGCATGACTCCCAGAGGCAGATGCATGATGGGATTTTGTGGTTTCTCCACAGCTAGGGGACCGGAGTTTGTCTACTCCTGATGTAGGGGATGGAAAAGTCATCCATGTCAGCTGATAATGTCTGAATGTGGTGACCATTATCTTATGTGCATAGCCAGTTTGTTGTCTCTGTCAGATGTGAATGGATAGCGGAGAATTGTTAAAGATGTCACCAGCACACCATACTGAAGTGAAGAACACGTCTGTTTATTGATGCTTCATGTCAAAACAAATAACAACGTTTCGGGGCCACACAGGGTCCCCTTCATCAGGCTTGAAATGTGTGGCCCCAAAACGTTGCTATTCGTTTTGCCATGAAGCGTCAATAAACAGACATGTGCTTCACTTCAGTATGGTGTGCTGGTGACATCTTTAACAAGTTTCAGTATTGGCGGCGCTATCCGCAGTCATTTCGAGCACCCATGCTGACAGGGATGCCTGGTAAGGAGTGCAGCAGGATTCTGGAATACATGGATAGTGGAGAAGATGCTGAGGGTCAAAACAAAACAGTTGTGCTGGGAATGTCTACTTCTACGTAGCTTTCAGAAGAAACTGGAGTCAATTGGTTTGATTTACTAAAAGAGGGTTTTTACTTTGCCAACTAATTGGGCATTTGAAGCAGCAGAGCTTCACCTTATTCACTAAGCTAAGTGACCTTTCACTTCACTGAGTGTCACGATCTGGATCCGACTCGGAGTCCAGTAGCTGAAACAGCAGGCAAAGTCGTAGTCAAACAGGCCGAGTTCGGTACACAAGCAGACGGTAGTAGTATAGGAGCAGGCAGAAGCGTAGTCAGTGAACAAGCCGAGGTCAGTAGCCAAAGGTATCAGGTATGAAGTGGAAGACGATGAGAGTAGTCAGTGAATCAGTAGCCAAAGGTCAGTACACGGGTAGCAGTATGAGTGGATTGTATCACAGGAGGAGCAAGGAAGCAAGATATTGGCAGGAGCACAATAATCTGGCAAGCAGGAAGTGCAGAGGCATGGCTTAAATAGGAAGTTCAAGGGAGGAGCAAGGAGTTCAGCAGAAACTAGGTTAAACTGAGGATTACACAGGGGATCAGGCAAGGAGCTATCCAAGGTTCTAAGGTGGCTCAGCAGGTAGAACCGCTGCCAGCTACAGCAGAGGCCCTGGGTTCAGATCCAGTTACTGACACTGAGTGAATATTCTATACTCCCCTAGTAAATAAACCACAGTGTCTCAAGACATCAGTAGCTAGGAGGCTAAAGAATTTTGTGTTGCTGTACACAATCACCCTGTGATGGAATATCTTCTGTTAAATTGTTGGCAAGTTAAACATAAAAATGAATTAAAACCCTATAAAGGTCACAGATGTAATGGTGTTATACATTTGTTGAGTAGTGTATATTTTGTGTATTAAAATCAATGTTAATTATATTAGACTCATATTATTACTTACTTGATGCTATCACTTAGCTCCTGTACTTGGTGGCGTAGACGTTGGGCTTCTTCCTGTAGCTGGGCTCTCTCCTGCTGCAGCTTACAGATGTATTCTGCTGTCTTGTGCAAGGTGGTCGCCTTACTAAGCTGCAGAGATCAGTTTATGTCATGAGTCTATGTAACCTGTCTAAAATCTTGGCTTAAACACTCTTCTTGGTCTAAACTCAATTACTTTTTGTACTAACAATGTTTTTTAAGGAGGTTCTCTAAGTTGAACATTTTTGTAAGTACTGTAGAGAGGCACCCACTGCCTCTCTATATAGAGCAGGCCACCTTTCCGCTAAAGCACTTTGGGCCGGTGGTAAAAGCCCTACTGTCTGAGGACACATCCAAGACAGCCTACCTTCCTGACTGATGTTAATTCAACTGGACAAATGGAGCTGCTTGTGTACATGCTGAGAAGTTGGATTGTGTCATACGTTCATGAGCAGCACATGCCTGTGCATTTGACCAAACATCAATACTTTTTCAGGGCTTGGTTGACAACCAGTCCAACTCTGTAGCATTGGTTGAAATAAACTAACTAAGATAAGAAGAGATCCATTGGAGCAGGAATTATTATTAATATAGAGGCTGTGGGGGGTTCTTTTTACAAATTACTTGCTGTGCCATGTCAAAATAAATGCAGATTGTCTCTGGTTCCTGAACCTTCAGTCCTCATTGATTAATTTGTATTGTTGACAATTGTTGGGATTCTACACAGGTAATTTAAACACTTTTATGCCTATTGCCAATGTACATAAAGCCAACAAATGTTAAAGCGGCAGTAAAATAAAAAAAAATTAAAATTGCTAGCGTTTTTTTTAAATTTTCTGTGGCACATGCGCTGTGTAGTGTACACTCTCAGCTCCTTCATGGCATCCAGCAGTTTACTTCTACTTTAACAGAAAAATTCTGACACAAAATCTTAATGCTTGGATTCCATGTCCATGTCTAGGACTTCAGCATACTAGTTCATTAAAACTCAAAACAATGAATGCCACAGCATTGAAGCCTGCCAGTAGCTGCAGGTAGTGCTGGACAACGAAGCAAGCAATTTTTCTCAATACAGCATGCTAGGAGAGGGTGGGTGCATGGGGTGTCTGTTTTACAAGACCTTTCTCTGTGTGTAAACAAGACCTAATGCTTTAACAGAACCATCTGAAAGCAAAGTTCACTTTTTGTGAATTTTTTTTTAAATGCACACATCTTCATAAAAGAAAAAAAGGTGCGTGTATTATTTTTTGGAATTGGAGCCAGTAAAACATTGCAACCGTGATCAACCTGCAAACTCTTCCTCCCATCCATGTCTGTACCCCAGTATGGACATGCAGAAATATGGATGGGTGGAAGAATGAATGGACTACAAGTGTGGTGATGTCACAGCACTATTATTCCATTAAGAACTATGGAATTGGAATTGAGTCCCTCTGCCGCGGTGGTTGATGGTGGTTTCTCCATTCACAGATTCTGTCAATGGACCTGTGAATGGATGATACAGCTGTGTGGGCACTGCTGCAAATTTACAAAACAGCCACGGCCTGCAGGGAGAAGAACCCTGCGTTTCAGTGGTGGTGGTAGTGGGGGAAAGGTGGGGTAGGGTGCGGCTGGTTTGCTGATGTTACCATTTTGTATATTATACCCTAAATATGGGTGTAACATGAAACATGGTCCCAAAGGTAAACCTAGCCTTTAAAGTAAACCTGTTCTCCACTTTAATAGTAAAGGTCATGCCTAAGAGTACATACCACAGTAATCTGCTATCTTTATTGCTCAAATTAAAAAAAAAAACATTTCTGTGTCCCTCTGTTATGGGGACCTGACTTTATTATTTATTACTGGTATTTATATAGCACTGACAATTTACACAGCACTTTACATTAGTCCCCGCCCACAACGAAATAACAACCTAAGGGTTCCCACACACCTTACGATAATCGTACGATAATCGCAGGAAATCCCACGATCGTACGATTATTGTAAGGTGTGTGGAAGCCGTGCGACCTCTACTACTGTAAGTTTGCACGACTTTTAACTTACGAACATGTTCGAAAACCCACCGAGCATCGTACGATGTTCGGCTGGTGTGTAGCATGTTTGTAATTGCGGTCATCAGAAGCCCGCCCCTCAGGGGGGGTGCGACTTGCGATCATCGCAAGTACGATCTGCCTGTCCAAGATAGGCAGATCGTACGTTTTTTTAAAGTACCTTACAACCATCGCAAGACAAATGTCTTGCGATGGTTGTAAGGTGTGTGCCCAGCATTAGGCTCCTATCACACATGCACACATAAACAGCCAATTTACACATGAGCCAATTAACATTTCAGCATGCCTTTAGGTTGTGGGAGGAAACCAATAGAGCACAGGGAGAACATGCATACTCCTTGCAGACAGTGTCCTGACCAGGATTTAAACTGGGGACCCTCAGTGCTACAAGGCAGAAGTGCTAACCACTACACCACTGTGCTGCCCCTGACTTTTTCTGACTTTAAGGCTAAGTCCTGCCAGCTGCAATTCCACTGTCCAATTAGATTGCCTCAGCGGCCAGAAATGACACTATCACTGGAAAGGGTGATGGCGATGGTGGATGTTAGAGGCTTTTTAGCTTTGTCTGTAATTTTGTTGGCTAATAAAAGTGCCATCTTGAGGTGTCTATTTTAAAGCAGAGGTTCACTTTACATTGATATGATTCCTACCTTGAAAAAACAATTTAATCTAAGGGTCACACAAAGAATGATTTTTAGTTTTAACTGACACTTCTACATGCTAATGAAGAAATGAACCTTGCCTATTCTTCTATGTAACTAAGTAATCTCATTACAGCAAAATACAGAGGGGGCTCCATCAGTAACACCCTATCCTCATATCAAAGCAATGTGTTATACCTTGTTGCTGTGCTGTCCATGCAGACTTGTCACCAGACTGTGCAGAGTGTCAAACCCAATTTTAATATTGCAGCGTCTCTTCTGTTCGGCAGAGATATGTGTTATGCGTCTGCTTTCAACCTGTAAAAACACACAGAAGTCAGATGCACTAAAGACTTGAGGGAACAACATTTAAAAAAAATTAAAGTGACACTAAACTCAGGAGTTAAATCTTAGAGGGTTATTCACAAAGCTGCGGTAGGCAGCCGAGTGAACACCCGACCCGAAGTGAAGTGAGCCAAACGCTTTTCGGCTATTCATTTCAGGCTTGCATTGGCTTGCTTCGGCTCGGCCGAACATGCTCAGCATGTTCGGCTGAGCCAAAGTGCAGAAGGAGTTCAACTCAGCCAATCCAACATCAGGATCGGCTGAGCCGAACCTCCAACAGGCTTCTAGCTAACGTTCAGCCTATTCTCATAGGGGCCGAACGCAGTGAGTGAATAGCCGAGCGGCATTTGGCTTGGCTATTCCGTGGTACCGAGCAGAATAGTAAAACTGAAAAAATTTTGAAAAGAAAACTGTTTCCAAATGTCAACAAATGATCAATGTTAAAAAATAAATAAAGAATTTAAAATAAATAAATAAAAAAAGATCAATGAAAAAAGAAGAAAAACAAATAAAAAAAAGAACAAAACAATTGGGCGGAGCTAGCAGTGACAGCTAGCTTCGCCCAACTGTTTCCTATTGGCCGGGACCTGCTAGAGTCTCCTTCTTTCTGGAGGGTGGCTACTTTTGTTCCCCATGGTCCCTGTGTGTGTTGTAAAGTAGCCACCGCTCCAAACTCACTTCTGTGATGGACACAATTGCAATATAAATTAGTAAACTAAACATGAGATTGTAGTCCATCATAGGAGGGAGCTTGGAGCGGTGACTACTTTACAACACACACAGGGACCATGGGGAACACAAGTAGCCACCCTCCAGAAGGAAGGACAGTGTCATCAGGAATTCAGAGATGATTTGAGGATCTACAGCCGAAAAAATAAGATACATTTTTATTAATAGTTAGGGTACTTGAATGCATTTTTAAGATTTAACTACTGAGTTTAGTGTCACTTTAATGAATTACATTATTGTCATTAAAGTGTATGTCCAGTCAAGACTGTTTCTTTTAGTTTAGGATAGACTGGGGAAACACTGGAACCCGTCAGGTTTTTCACTGCTATCCAGGGCTCTGTTATGGAGATTTTCACCAGACAGGAAGAGAAAAAATTATCCAACAGCAACAAAGACAGAAATAAAAAAGCTTTTTCAGTACAGCAGGGGCGGGCTACAACCCATGTTACTGTTTTTATTCCTTTCTGTGTTCCTTTTGGAGATTCTTCATCACTTTCAGGTGAAACTCCGACAGCAAATGGGGAGGGGGATCTCTCTATGGCAGGGATGTCCAAACTCCGGCCCTCCAGCTGTGGTGAAACTACAAATCCCATGAAGCATCTCTCTCCGGGAGTCATGTCTGTGGCTGTGAGAATCTTGCAAAGCCTCATGGGATTTGTAGTTCCACCACAGCTGGAGGGCCGCAGTTTGGACATCCCTGCTCTATGGGAACCCGAGATAGCAGTACAGCTGTACAACTGTGCAGCAGCCTTGCGCTGAGTTATGTAATATGATATTTTAGATATCATTTACAAAGACCATCTAATTACTATTTTCACCATGCATACATTTTGCAGTAGTGCTTTTAAGTAGTTATAGAATCACTCTCCTTAATGTTTTGTTCCTAGAAAAAAAAAAATGAATTGCACCCATTTAAAGGTTTGTGGCAATTCTAGGAATTTGTAGCTCAGTCACTCTTAGTTCAGAGTGATTGCCTTTTGGCAGTATTGCAGTAAGCATGTTGCTCTGTGGAGAGTCACTGTGTGGCAGCAGCTTTGCAAGTAAGTACTACTGTTTTTGGGAATCTGGACACAAGGCCAATTTTGATGCTCGAAAGGGAAGTGAGATGTGTAGTTAAAGCTGGACAGGATAGGATTCATTTTTATGTTTTATATTTTATTGCTGCCTAAGCTATATAATGCTGGACATGCTCAACGAAAAATAAACAATTAGTATTGTGAGCTATATAAATACTTAATCCAAACCTGCCCAATAAATAACATTTTCAATGCAAACTGTCAGCTACACTCGCTATTAAACAAAATACAATTGCGATTGCACATAAATGATGCTGCCTGAGTCATGAGGCTTCCATCATTGTCTCCTGCATTCACCTTTTTGCTGTTACTTTTATTCCAGGTATGAGAATTTTGGGCACAGGGCACAGTCAGCGTGTCTTTGCGATCATCACCTGAAACAAGTGAATACAGTTACTAGATTGCTTTGACTCCATTATGAACAGGTGGTACATGCTTGTACAATGTAAAATAAGCTGACATTAGTTCATGTGGGGTTTACAGATATTACAATGACAAACAAATATATAAACATACAATCCAAGGATAAAAAGCACACATTAATGTTATGTGTGTGTACCACCATGCTGTCTATGGCTGTATTTACACTTGGTAAAAAACACTTTAATGTGCATTATGGCATTCATTTGTATTTTAGAAGTCTTCAGGATTGTCACATAACACACTGGATCCTCTTTCTCTTTATTCTTTTCCAAGTGCTGGGTAGTCCTCTGATAACTAGAATGTGATGACTTCAGCGCTGCTCTCTGTAGCAATATACTGTGATTGAAAGATGCTCCAGCTTATTGAGGCAGTCCCATGGCACCCTTTATTCACAGTGTGTCCTTAGTCTTCTGGGCTATATGATGTTGAGCGTCATTTGCCCAGAAGACTCAGGACCTCTTGTGCCGAAAAGGAATACTTGGGGGACAGCCCTGGATTAAAAGTGATTATTGCAACCCGTGCTGCTTTTTTATTTTGGGCTGCTGCTGGGGATCAATTTTATTTAAAAAACGCACTGCCTGCAATCCTGCAATACTTGCCAAGGTGTTTAAACGATATTTATCCTGTGGTATATACATGTTTGTATATACAGTATGTTTGGTATCTATATGTTTGAGCTGTGCCTGCTAACACTGCTAAACAGATCTTTGTGGACCAAGGGCTATTACTACAGTCATAGCAGCCCAGGCTGATGCTATGGGGCCCAGTGGTGTGGTATGGTCCAGCGAAACAGGTTGAAAGAAGTTGGCTGACATTACTTTAATAAGCATTAATAGTGAAGTGGATAATAATAACTGCAGAGATCCAATCCTCGGAATATGTGGAGCCAGCCCAGGCTGGGAAAAGAACAGGATGCTACTCTGCACAGCTCTGTGGGTCAGTAATCAAGCCAATCTTCTTCTGCAGGGCAGTGTCTATCAGTTAGAATTTTAAAGAAACTGGCTCATAAACAGAAAAAGTAAAAAAATAAGCAAAAGAACACAGTGGGTGGGGTGATTGGAAAATAATATAATTTAGGGACTAATCTAAGACTGAGGTGTATGGATAAAAGATGAGAACATATGTCAGACATAGAGCAAATGGAAAGGTACTAAAGGAGTGACTGATGCCCTCTGCCAGTAATGGTGGAGGTAATATAATTGTATGGCGCTGCTTTGGTGCTGGTAAGGTGCAGGGAATAACTGAAAAAGGTTACCACTTTATTTCAGAACATCATGCTATCCCCTGTAGTCAGCCATTGATAAGGGTATATGTCAACATGCCGTAGGTTGATCAGAAACATACTTCTATGCTGTGCAAAATGTAGAAGTTGGCCTACAGGGTTTGATGGACTGGTCCGTCAGATCTCAATTCTACTAAGCTCTTGTGGGAAGAGCTTCACCATAAAGTTAGAATAAATCCCAAGGAAGCCAGCATGGGCTAAATTTCCCCTAAATATCTTCAATAACTGTCAGATTGAATGTCAAGACTGCAAAGCTGTAATTGCTGCAAATTTAGACAAAGTTATGACTGTAAAGTTTGATGAATAGTATACTTCTAAGAAAAATATATTGCTATGACATTGTCAAGATAATAACTTTTGATCGATTGAATGATACTCTAGGCCCCTCTCACATGGGTGGCCCAATCAGGTCCATCTGTCAGTTTTTCAGGTGGACCCGATCTAATGCCCAATGTAAGTCTATGGGCAGCCGTGTGTAAATGGACAGGCGTCCCTTTATACCCAGTCACCCCCAACTCTGGCCGGGTCCAAAAAACAAAGGGATCAGAGATCCATTTAGCTGGACCTGATAATTCCGGATCGGGGGTAACACATGTCCGCTTACATACGGTTCCCCATAGACAGACATGGGGTCCGGTAATTGCAGTTCACAGTGGTGACATCTGCTCTATACTGCTGTGATCACGAGAGTATCTGTACATGGATCCTCGACTGATCAGCCCCTGTGAAAGCGGCCTAAGTAAATAAAAGTGACAACTGCTATCCAAAACATAAACATCTCTGGGTGATTCCAGGCTTTGAAATGCTAGTGTACATTAATGACTGTGTACTTACTGCAGACTGATGATGGAGAAAGTCTTTCAGTTTTTGGAAGCAGAGGAGGACCTGTCATGTTTGTGGTTTCAGACACTGTACTGTTGCTTGGACTACATAAAACAGGACTGAGGAATATTGCAGGAGGAGGAGAGGGAAAACCAAGGCCACTTTGTGTGGGGGGAGATGAAATGGATTGCACAGAAATGCCAGGAAAAGACATAGCTTCTGACCTACTGCCTGTCTGAGGAGAAATACAGACAATTTCATATTTTTATTATTTCTGGAATATCACAGCTATGTGTAAACTCTACCTGCTATTGTCACCTACAGTACATGGATATCATCATCAACACCATATTAAACAATCCTGAGGGCTCGTTCACAGCACATCAGCTAAACTATGTTAATCTGCACAGATCAACGCAGGCTCAACAACGGGGCTTACAGAAAACAATTATTTTCTATGCGCCCTGTTCACACCATAATACTGTGTTGAGGTGGGTTGCGGGGCATCACATAGAAATGCTGGATTTTTTCCCAACACGCTGCACCTCATACACTGCTGTGTTGTATAGAAGTGAATAACATGTCATTATGTAAAATTGCAATAAGTTTTAAAAAACAAAAGTAAACTGGCTTGCGTTGTAACAACGCAAAACATTGGCTGTCACTACTGCTACACAATAAAGACGAGACCTGAGTCAAAGCAACCTTGTAACTGTGAGATGCAGTAAGCAGATTTACGCCAAAAATCCTCATCTGCAACTAAAACATTTCTGCCATTTTTGGTTCTGTAGGAAAGGGTTGGAATTTCTATGACATTTTATAGCTGTTTCTGTAATATTTAGGGACATTTTCTGTCACTTCCTTGTGGAACAACTGGTATAATGCAGCTGTGTCTAAAGAACACACATTCGTTTTCATAGTTACAGCATTCCAATGACACAGCCGCATGTACACCGGTCCTCTGTAGCGACAATGGAATGTTGCTCACATGTATTTGTAATTATTTTTTTTTGGCATCTTCAGATTTAGTGCAGCCAAAAGTGATGTACAAAGTGCATAAACCCACATCAATCAATCAGGTGTCATCTTTCAAAGGTCTGACTTTAGTATGATGCAATATGAGTGGTTGCTTTAGGTTACTGTACTTTGCACACTGCAAATGCTGCCTTACTGGATAAACAGATAACAACTGTTTCTTAAAGCACATTCTGATGCTAACAATGTTGCTTTAAGAGCGCCAAACGATTACGCAGCATTATGTCCTATAATATATCCTGTATAATAATGTATCATATATATTAAATAAATATCTCAATAATTTTAAATACTTATCATTAAGCCAAGATGTGGCATGCATTCAGCAGAACGGCATGTAAAAATAATAATTTCCGGATCTCAGTTATATGCTCCATATACAGTAAATATGTTCTATCTTGCACATATTGGTTTAGGCGTCCTTTACGTGCAGAGTTCAACACCTTTTTGTCCCGCTGCAATCATGGCAATGGTCATAAACCATTTAATGAATGAGTAAAGGAAAAATGGCTGCTGATGTTTTTCTTCCTATCACCTTTCCTCCCCAACCCAGTTGTTGGATAGAAAAGAAGAATCAGAATATTAATGAGGTCATGCTTTCCCGTGCTGTAAGCACATTCATGTTAGGCTCACAAGCCTTATGCAAACCAGTCTGAGTGATGCTGTACACAGGATAACAAGAGATTGAGTATAAGACAGATTCAGGTACACATGCTAGAGGTATATAGAAATACATTTAACTATCTTAATGAATACATGACTAAAACTGTGTTTTTTTATGATATATTTGCCCAGATTTCTGCTTTGCAGTGTTACTCTGTCTCAGTGACAATTTAATACAGTAAAGAAGGGCAATAAAATAATTGTTTTTGTAAACGAATTGTCTCATAAAATCTGTACAGGTTGGTAAAGTATCCACTGCGTCCAACTAACAACATTCAAATTTTGCTAATAGTGGTGGGGTCAGCCTGCACCTAAGTAATGTTCACCTAGACATAGCATTACATGCCTTTTACTGAGAAAATTCTCAGTTGGGCAGAATGGATCCTTATATACAGTGAGGAAAATATTGATTTGATCCCCTGCAGATTTTGTACATTTAACCTTACAAAGAAAGGTCTATACTATTTTATCATAGGGGTATTTTAAATGATAAATACAGAATATCAACCAAAAATCCAGAAAAAAACACATGATACAAATGTTATAAATTGAGTTGCAGTTCAGTGAGTAAAATAAGGAATTGGATCCCCTACCAACCAACAATAATTCTGGCTCCCACAGACTGGCTATGTTTTACACAGATTAGTCCTGTCACTTTAAGAAGGTGCTCCTAACAACTCATTATGTATATAAAAGACACCTGTCCACAGAATATCTTTCTTCCATTCAATCCTCACCACCATGGGCAAGACCAAAGAACTGTCAAAGGACGTTTAGGGACAAGACTGTAGACTTGCACAAGGCTGGAATGGTCTACAAGACTATCAGCAAGAAGATTGGTGAGAAGGAATCAACTGTTGGAGCGATTATTTGCAAATGGAAGGAATACAAAATAACCATGAGTTGCCCTGGGTCTGGAGCTCCATGCAATATTTTGCCTCATGGGGTAAGTATGATCATGAGAAAAGTGAGGGATCAGCCCAGAACCACACGGGAGGAGCTTGTGAATGATATCAAGGCAGTTGGGACCACAAACCATTGATTATACAATACACCGCCATAGATTGAGATCCTGCAGCGCCCGCAAGGCCCCCCTCCTCAAGAAGGCACATGTACAGGCCCGTCTGAAGTTTGCCAATGAACATCTATATGATTCAGAGAAGGATTGGGAGAAAGTGCTATGGTCAGATGACACCAATTTTGAGCTCTTTGGCATTAACTCGACTCACCGTGCTTGGAGGAAGAAAAATGCTGACTATGACCCTAAGAACACAACCATAAAGTCAAGCACGGAGGTGGAAACATTATGCTTTGGGGCTGTTTCTCTGCTAAAGGTACAGGCTGACTTTGCAGCAATGAGGGGCCAATGGACGGGGCCATGTATTTGTAAAATCTTGGATGAGAACCTCCTTCCCTCAGCCAGAACACTGAAGATGGGTCATGGATGGGTCTCTCAGCACGACAATGACCCAAAACATACCGCCAAGGCAACAAGGCAACAAAGCATTGGCTCAAGAAGAAGCACATTAAAGGTCATGGAGTGGCCTAGTCAGTCTCCAGACCTTAATCTATTTATTTATGGAAAATGTATGGAGGGAGCTGAAACTTCGGGTTGCCAAGCGACAGCCAAGAAACCTTAAGGATTTAGAGAAGATCTGTAAAGAAGAGTGGAGCAAAATCCCTCCTGAGATTTGTGCCAACCTGGTAACCAACTACAAGAAACGTCTTACCTCTGTGCTTGCCAACAAGGGTTTCTCAACCAAGTACTAAGTCATGTTTTGCTTGGGGATCAAATACTTATTTTACTCACTGAACTGCAACTCAATTTATAACATGTGTTTTTTCTGTATTTTTGGTTGATATTCTGTCTCTATCATTTAAAAGACACCTATGATAAAAAATATAGACCTTTCATTTCTTTGTAAGTGGGCAAACGTACAAAATCTGCAGGGGATCAAATAATTATTTTTTACACTGTATATAGATATATAGATAGCAGCAATTGAAATACTTAGTCACTGCAGTGATTACCGTGTTACTTAGTCCATTAGGCCCACAAGATGGGAGGAGTTGTGCAGATGAGTCTGGTTTGGAAGCTGAAAAAATTAAAAAAACAAAAATACATCTATTTTTATGTATATTTACAAGATAAACTCCTAATAAAATGAAACATCTATCTAAAATCTCAATATTCAGCTTTCATTGTAAGCCTATCGCCAAATAAAAAAAATATAACAAATTCCCCTTGCAGTGGGGCTACAACAGCACTGCAATGGTTACCCACTTGTATTTGTCTAGGGGAAATCTTTAATGCAGTTTTACTTACCTGATCCCCTCATCTGCTGGCTCCTAAAACGGGCGCCCCACAACCTTTTCCACCCTCTGCTCCAGCAGTCAGAAAGTTCTGCATTAGATATGAGGATGCCAAGGTACATTCCACAACCAGAGAAGAGGGGGAAGAGGTGAGCACTGACGGTCGTAAGAATGGGGATTAGGTAAGTAAAACTGCTTTAAATAATCCACTAGACGAGCCTTTCTTACCAGGATGCTTCCTCAGGGGTGCCTTGAAATTTTAACACAGCTTCATGTCTTTCCATGGTGCCGGCCGGCTGCTCCCCAGCACCATGGAAACAAATTATGCTTATGCAGGGAGGGTGGGATCCATTAGAAAATTTTCTGATGTGAAGGGAGGCTTGTGATGTGACGGGGGACTTGAATGTTAAAGGAGGGGGCTCTTATGTGAAGGGGGCTTCTTATGTGAATAGGGGCTCCTAGTGTGAGAGGGGCGGGTCTCATGTGAAAAGAATGGGCTCTGATATGAAGTGGGGCTCCTAGTGTGAGAGGGGGGTACTTTGATGTGAAAGGGAGCTCCAATGTGGGGAGGCTCCTAATGTTAAAGGGGAGACTCTGATGTGCAAAAAGGGGACACCTGATGTTTAGGGGGCTACTAGTGCGAAAGTGGGGACTCTGATGTGAAAGGGAGCTTTGATGTGAAGGGGGTCCCTAATGTGAAAGGGGAAAGAGGGGACTTTGATTTGAAAGTGAGTGCTGATGTGAGGGGGCTCCTAATGTGAAGGATGTTTCTGCATTGGGAAATACCAGACCCCTAAGATGGATACGTTTTTGTAGGGACTACAGGTTGTTTATTACATTTACAAATTTTACATTTTAGACTGGGGTGCCTCAAGATTTTGCTTACTTTTAAAGGGTTTTGTAACCCCAGGAAAAAAAAGTTGAGAAATGCTGCTCTAGAAAAAAATTCGTAGCCCCACTCCAAAGCAAGGTCTTTTTTTATATACCCGGAGATAGGCTTTATTGACTGGAGATATATAAGGGATCTATTAATACAGTAAGTTTTTTTAACTATTAAAATATTTGTAATTTAATGTAGTCATTCTTGTGATTTACAAACCTGTCACAAAATATAGGCAGAGGATGACACTATTATTCACAATATGCTGCTTTGCAGCTTTCTCTATCACCATTGGATTATAAACAAGCATTGCCTCACTGCTGAATTACTCTTGTACTCTCCCTCTTCTGAAAGGTGCACAAAATCCACCTTCTTCAGCTCTCCAATGACTGCAAAAATATTATGGACTATGACTATACCATGTACCTGAAAATGCTTCACATTAATGCTACCTGAGCAAGTACACATTCTCAGACGTTGTCAAGGGAATAATAACATTATCCAGAAAAAAGAAAGAAAGAAAGGGACTACAGGATCATGAAAAAAAATACACATTGTATATAAACAATCACAAAGATCCCATAAATAAAACAGAACTTCCGTTTCATGGAAGTTTTGTTTTATTTATGGGATCTTTGTGATTGTTCATGTGCATAACTATGTGCATTAAAGGATTTTTGTATTTTCCATACACAATATTATCAGATACAGAGCTTACAATGATTCCAGTTGTTCCCCAGCATTAAGTAGTTTGCATGACATGATTGTTTTTACAAGAGGGACCCTCACTGTATATCTATGGCTCCCTTGTGAATGTGACTACACTATTTAGATGATATGACTTTGACTTTTTTTACTTCTTGGCACTTCCATTTGTTATAATTGTTATAATTGCATCAAATGTAGATTAGCCACCAGAGGGAGCGCTCTATTCCATCACAGTCATCAAACACTCCCTGCTTGAAGAGAAAACGAATAGTGCTTTTGTATATGTTTATTCTTTTTATTTATTATAGCCAAGGCTAAAAATAACTACTGTAAACATAATTTTTCTTCTAGTCAGTTAAACATAAACATAAAATATAAATATTTTGTATTCTCATTTTAGGCAGAAGAAGAAGCGCTGAGTATCTTTTCACATGCTATCTAAGATATTTTTATCTGCTTTGCTGAATAGAGCTCACTATTTACAGAGCTCTCTCCTGCTGTATTCAGATGCCTTAAAACAACCTTTCAATTAGAGAGAGGAAGTCTGAAAGTAAACAGCTCTTGCTGTAAAGCCTGAATTTAATATGTAACAAATCAAGTGTATATAAAAAATAATTCATTAATATAAATACCGGTTTAAAGCGTAAATTAAAACATAAATAAATATAACTGACCCAAAACCACTTTCTCTTTACCAATTTTTAAGTAAAGATATTTGCCAGGGAGTGTATAGCCTTTAACAACTCTTCCGATTCATAGGGGTCTATTTACGAAGCAGCCGAAGATCCTTCGGCTAGCTTCGACCCCTCAGTAGAACCGAAGGGCTGCTGTATGGGCTATTCACAATAGCCCGTACAGTTCCCGAACTTAGCCGAGCCGAACGCATATGCCTTAGCTCGGCTGAGCCGCGCTGAAAGCCGAAGCTGGCCGAGCGGCCACCCACAACCTACTTCTGACAGCTGGGTGGAGCCAGCCGCGATCTTACGGCTGGCTCCGGCCATTTGCAGAGAGATCAGCGTCCTTGGATTTTTTTTCTCCTGATGGCAGCAGGACCGCCGGCCAATAGGAAACTGTTGGGCAGAGCTAGCTGTCATTGCTAGCTCCGCACAATCGTTTTCTATTTACTTTTTTTGTACTTTTTAAACTATTTTTTTCCCTCTGAGGGACCGAGCAGAACAGCCGAGCCAAATGCCACTGAGCGGCATTCAGCTATTCACTCACTGCTGTTCGGCATCTATAAGAATAGGCCGAAAAACAGCGAGTAGCCTGCCGGAGGTTAAGCTCAGCCGATCCAGATGTTGGATCGGCTGAGTCGAACTCCTTCTGCACTTCGGGTCGGCCGAACATGCTGAGCATGTTCGGCCGACCGGAAGCCATGCAAAGCAAGCCGATGTACGGCTGATTTCAGCCGGAAGCCTGAAATGAATAGCCGAACAATGTTCGGCTCACTTCACTTGGGGTCGGTTGTTCACCCGGCTGCCCTTGGCAGCTTAGTGAATAGACCCCATAGACTTGCATTTTAAAATAGCTGTAAATCACAACTATTGCATGGTAATGAAAAGTAGGAAGCAGGGCATGCATATATATGCAACAAATATGACTGCTTCCCTACCCATATATAATTAAAAACTATATGCAGAAAAAAACGTTTTTAAGATAGTTACATGCATTTTATAATATTTATACAAAAGAAGACTTTACATTGTCTTTACACAGCAAAAGTTGTGTGAAGTACACTGAGCCTCACATATTAAATAGTCTGGAATAAGAAATGGCTTTGTTGCCTTCTGCAACTGTCACATTAATTAGAACCCGCGCTGAGATTTAAATACAATTTAGAAAACAAAGGTTTATAGGTCAGTTTACTTTTGCATGGCTTGGTGGCCATAAACCAGTAAATTGTTGCACATGAGTTGTATGCTCTGTCATTGTTTTTGGAAATGTCATAGGTAAAGAACAATATATTGTTAGCAGGCACATATTTAAAATTATTATTACAGTGTTCACTGTGACTAACATTTTTACATGCTTGCTTTTCTAAATTATTATTGTATTGTTGATTTGTAGGCTAGCCGGTAGAGGGAGTAAACCCTCAATTTGCTATCACTTTGCTTCCCTTTGTCACAATTGTTGAGATATCAGTTACAGAGGGGGTACATTGTTTTCAATCAGTCAGCACACCCATATGGTAAAGACCTGTAAAGTACAACCATTCTACAGCACTGCAAAGCTGGCAGTAAAGCCTACATATTCAATGAGCAAATGTAGATGCCCCGTTAAAATAGTTAGCTATTTGAGGTATCACATAAATTAATGCATGCATTTATTTACAATTTTCTTGCAGACTAAACTGTCCAGCAAAGGTGGATGTGATAGGGGTTGGGACAAACTGCCAGGAGTGTTTAAAGTGTATGTGTACCCAAAATTAAAATGTAATATATTGTGGCTTATCCCTCATAAGATATGGTGACTATTTTTTTTCAGGTTTTCTTTTTCTGTACTTTTACCTCTGCATTTTGCCATTACGTGAATGTAGGCCAACCCCCGTGCTAGGGTGATAATGCTCACTGAATGTCTATATATATATATATATATGCAGAAGCAGCACTGTCACCCCAGAATGCTCAGTTCCATTGTGGACTTCAGGCAGACACACAGCACACCTGAATGTTCAGGCTGAGTCCATTTACTAAGCCCTGCATGCCTCCTTTGTTCAGCTCTACAGTGCAAAGCAGCATAGGACATGGCCATATCCTTAGTATGAGGCATGCGTCTACAGCTAGAACAGGCACATGAATAGGAAGCAGCTGCTGAGAGCAAAAAAGCCATGCGTGGTATATAGTTTTAGAAGTCAAAAAAATATGTATAAGACATTATGTAATAAAAAATAAATAATCAAACATAACATATCAGCCTTATTAAACACTAGACACAATGTTTTGGTTTAATTCTAATTTAAGAAGTTGCAGCAACAGTTTTTTTGTTTTAAGATTTAAACCCTATGACTAAAAGGTGACTGTTGAAAGCCTCTTGTTATAGTTTGTCCCTACTCTTGCCACTGTCACTTTTACAGCATAGTCATTTTATGTAGAAAAAATATAAAGATGTGAAATAAAATGTATAAACTGCATACAGTTATAAGCATGCAATAGTTATATGGTCCTTTAGGCAATAATTCATGAATCAGCACTGTTACTGCTTAATAATTATCCCAAGCATTCTACAACCACACCTCCCATACTTCCATCTACACCCGCCTTCCACCATCTTCCTTGGAACCCCCTCAGCCACATATGACTGACTCATTCATTCATATTGACGATTCATTCATATTTCTTCTCATTACCTGAAATGCAGGGTTGACTGATACTACAGAGAGATCTTGTGGCTCCTTCAGCTGAATGCCTCCTAGGTTTGGTGACTGAAACTCTTGCACAATCTTTTGGCATGGGGAACACATGGGGGGTCTCTATCTGTGTTGAAGGCTCATTGTATAGCGGGTAGACATCTGCATGTATAGTTGGAGGGGCGGCTTGATTTAAGATGGTGTTTTCAGTGGTCACAGTAGAATATGGAGGTTTAGGGCAGGATACGTGTGGAAACAGCAGATCCTGATCTTGCACCGGAAGATTTGAGGAGATACATTGCAAGGGGACAGATGCAGGAGGTGGGTAAGAGTCAGTGGTGTATCTATCGTCTGGCTCTGGATAATGGGACAGTGGTTTGGCCTCAGGGTTGGACAGTGAGCATGTTACTGCAGAACTGTTATAATTAGATGACAGGGGAGTATTCAGAAAGCAATGATCTGATCGAGGAATATAAGAGGTGGAGGGCTGGCAGAAAAAAAAGAAAAATTTAAACCATTAAATACAAAAATAAAACATAAGGTCTTTGTGAGATGAATCCACACATTAAAAACATTACTAGTTAAATGCCAAAGTGAGAAGAACCATATAGAAGAAGAGAGAGGAATATTAGAGTTACTATATGAGGAAGTGGAAGGTTTACTATAAAAAACCTAAACAAGATGACTCTAAAGGAAAGCACACAAAGCAATGAAAACATTTAAACTACAATTATGCAAAGCAACCAGTTAGATTTGCCTTAACTAAAAAAATCAATTCTGATTGTTTGTTATGGGTTACTGCACTTTGCAAATTTTTTTTTCAGAAGCTCAGTCTTACATTACATTATAGAAAATGGACAAATGTAGTTAAAATAACAAATACAAATATATTTATGACATTTCTAAGGCACTATTTTACCAATAAAACCTACAACAGACTCCTGGCAAAGCTATTATATATAATCTGGGTAGAATAGGGGGTATTTGATGGGGTGGTTATCCTATTAAGTGTACCAGCTTGCCAGCAGAGTGAGTATCGTCCCTATAGCTAGACTGCAGCCTTGGCCAGCCCATGAAGTAGGCCGTGCCCAGAAGCTACGCGTTTAGCTTAACTTCAGGACAAGTGTTTCCAAAACTAGTCATCATGGACCACTGTAATATTAGGTATATCTGCGTAGGTCTAAGGAAGTGCAGAGCACAGTTTTACTGTCCAGTAGGGCTGCCTGATAACAATCGTTGAACAGATTTACAAATCTTTTTCTGGGTAACACAGTATACAGTATATATTTGGTGTGGGATGTGCTGGGGGATTCAGCTGCCATTATGATGTGCTGAGCTTCTGGTGTGTCCATGAGCATTTAAGGAGGAATGGGCTGCCTCCTAGCATACCTGCACAGGTATCCTAGACCTAAATGAGCAGTTTACCTTTGTCAAGGCCCCTCTGTGTAATGTGGCGACAACTCTAATCTATGAGAACCTCCATCCTGGAGCATATATAGCAAAGGATGAATCCTTTGCTATATATGCGGCAAGATGGAGGCTCTCATAGATTAGAGTTGGGGCCACACTACACAGAGGGGCCTTGACAAAGGTAAACTGATAATTTAGGTCTAGGATACCTGTGTAAAGACCTTTTACTTACCTGATCCTGCTCCCACTGCAGTAGGCTCTCACCTACACTGTGGCTTGTGGACTGTCCTTCTGCGTCCTCACGTATAATGTAGGGCTACGTGCCCTGCATTGTACATGATTATGTCAGCAATCCACTGATCACCAGAGCATAAGGGAGAAGAGGCTGTGGGCTCCAGGGGAATCAGGTAAGAAAATGTATTTTACAGAGGTACTGCAGACAAAAACGAGAAGGTAACCCTTGCAGTACTGGGGTGCCCCTACCGCAAGGGATTTTTTTTTTCTCATGAAGATAGACTTTAAATATAGCTACACTTCAAGTCAGCTGTCACAACCTGTACTTATTATAAAATGGAAAATTAATTTATCTATGGGCTAACCTGTAAGGCTCTGTTACAAACAATGGCAGAATGCGGTTGGCTGTTCATTCCCTCATTGAAGCTGTTATAAAACGGGGGTTCCTGGAAACATACAGGAGGCTGCTGAGAAGGAAGAGGACGCGGCGTGCCAAAAAAATCTGTAAAAGACAAAACCAAAATATTTAATTGCAATACTGATTTTTTAAACAATTTGTATACGATTACATCAATATAACAGCTAAAATAATCAGAGAATCGAGGATTCCTTCACTGGTCACAATACTGATTGATCTGTGTCATCTCGTTCTCACATAGACTGTTATATCAATCCACTGTCTCCTATGTCGCTACTGAGCCTGGCAGGAGGAACCACAGCGTGCAGCAAGTCCAAGGAAATCAACACTCCTGGAAATGTCGGATTCTGTAGATTCTGAAAACTGGCGATATTTTTTCACAACAGCCGAGAACGGCAGCACAGGCAGTGGGTAAGGCGAGTATTAAATGTCTTCTTTGTAGGAAGGACTTTATTTTAGAGATTCTGGTTCTGTTGGACAACAGGTATGTCGGTGCTGTTAGCTATTGTGTTTGCTGACGGTATTCGTGGCTACTCTGCACTGTGCATCTAAGATCTAAGATGTTACATTGTATGTACCTTATACTTAAAGGAGAACTATGGGGTCAGGGTTTTTCCCCATAGTTCTCCTTAGGGTAACGGGAGGACACAAACTAGCGTCCTCCCATTACCCTAAGCTCAGTATACCGCGAGCATACTGAGACGCCGCAGCCGCAGCGGATTCCGACTTAGACGACGGGATCCGCCCAGCTGCGTGAGTGACAGCTGGCTCTGCCTATCTAGAGGCAGAGCCAGCTGTACCCGCCCCCTCCCCCGTCCGTTCCGCCAGTCAGCGCTAGCAGATCGGAGCGGGGAGAGGGGAATCCAGCCCCTCCCCCTGTCACGGCAGAGAGCCGTGACAGGATCGAGAGGTGAACGAACCCGATATGTGTTCGCTCACCTTCCGATCTACTGAGCCGACCTGTGACAGTCTCATTGTCACAGGTCGGCTAGAACTATGAGGTGAATGAAAAGCACTCACCTCATAGTTCTCCTTTAATTCACATGACTATGTACCCCCGGCTTTTTAAAATTTTTGTAAACTTGAAATTAACATAAGCTTTAAAAAAAATTATGAATTGATCCATGTATATTGGGCGGCCCTTTCTGATGTTCTTATCTCACTGCTGATTAAAAAGTACAGATGAGCTACAGACGATAGGTAGCCGAAGATCATCTGAACTAAGTTGCTAAAGCTGGGGAGGCACTTTTCATGAATGAGCAACATTTTTATCCCAAAATTTGCATTACAGTGGCATAGTGGTTAGCACTTCTGCCTTGTAGCACTGGGGGTCCTTGGTTCAAATCTGGACCAGGTCACTATCTACAAGGAGTTTGCATCTTCTCCCTGTGCTTGCATGGGTTTCCTCCAGGTGCTTTTGGTTTCCTCCCACGCTCCAAAGACATGCTGGAAGGTTAATTGTCTCCTGTCTAAATTGGCCCTCGTATGTATGCATGTGAGATAGGAACCTTAGATTGTAAGCTCCTTGAAGACAAGGACTGATGTGAATGTGTAAAGTGCTGCGTAAAACTGTCAGCGATATATAAACAACTGTAATAAATAAATAAATAAAATAATAAGGTGATTTGCCCTATTAACTCAAGTAGGATAATAGGTCTAATAGGAGTGTTTTCACCTTTTGCTGACATGAATCTAAACTGCAGGTTTGGCCCAGTGGGAGGTTCCTCCATCCACACAGTTTAGCGTAGATGGAGGAATCGGCGGCACTTTTTCCATCTGACCATAGAAAAAAAAAGAAAAAGTGTATGGCTAGCTTTAAATTGTAAGCTCCTTGAGGGCAATTATGTAAAGCAATGCATAAATTGTAAGTGCTATATAAATACCTGTAATAAATAAATCATAAAACCGATAGTAAGAAATGCAAAGCAAACCACTCATAGGCTATTGCTCCAAAAACGGTTCACTTTTCTCTGAAGAATAAGTGCTTTTTTTGGATTGTTGGTAAATAGTGTCTGATGCAACATTTATAGTTATTGTGAAACTGGAAACTTCCTGCTCAGCGTGCTTATGTTTACGGTCTTACTGCGGTGGAGGCAGGAGAGGAAGACTCATGGCACAGTGGAACCTGACCATGTCACATGTGAAAAGACATCCGGAACTGCCAAACTTAGCTATTAAAGGGCCATTCACACTGTCTAGACATCATGTGCGTTGTATAAAAGTGAACTACATCTAGCTTTCCCATTGCTACCATACAAACCTGAGCAATAATATGGTAGAATTGAACTAATTAAAAAAATATTACTTCTAAAGTCTACTAAAAGTCACTAAATATGATTGGTGATTGGCAATCACTTTTAATTAGCTACCATTTATATAATAAATTGCGATAAGTACTTATCAGAGAGCAACCAGATATACAAGGCAACCACCAATCTAGCCAGCATCCTCTTGGCTACAATGTGCCCGTGGCTCCCATAGGGAATAATGGCTTGCCTCTAATTGCCTATCACTTCTCCTCCTCTTCCTGTTTTCACTGACTTCAAGGGCTTGTTTACACCATCTGCATCGTAAAAAGCAGCCCATGCAGCCTGAACGCAAGACAAGGCAATTTTTCCTTGTGATGGATGGTGACATTCCACGCCACTGCATCCCGGTAGTACGGCATGCAGTACTTTTTTTCAGCACTCGGCAGTGAAACGCGGTACAACTGCATCGCACTGCTGTGAATCCTTAGAACGTAATGAAAGCACAGCTGCTGGTGTGAACAAGCGCTAAAGGAAATACATACTATTTTTGCATACTTTTTTTTAAATTTATGGATTATGTTGATATCTTTTGAATATTGTTTCAATTTTTATATATTTACAATATTCTGTATAATATTTTATATTTATCAACTGCACACAATAGGTGGCAAGAGCGAGGCTGGTATTCCATATCTTGAAAAGGCTGATTTACTATCAAACTGAAAATAGCCAAGAATACTGAATACGGCTAGAATGCAGGATATCACAATACCCACACAACTGAATGAGTCAGAAGAGAGTCATGCCTCCCATTATCACTGCTAAAATAGACAGTGGCCCTCTGTATTTTCTATCTGCAGAAGCAATGCAAAGACAGGCAGTGCAGTGCTTTGTTAGAGAGTTCAGTAGACTCTACAAGCACCCCCTACTAACTGTTTACGGGGTGTGATAAAAAAATACGGTGAATGTTTGAATAAAAAAAATAATAATTACAGTAAAAGACACATTGCCATGAATCCCCCTTGTGTCAAACACACTTATCCCATCGTTCTTGCAACTTTCAGAAAGCAGTTCTCGAAGTCCTCTTTGGTGAGTGTCTTTAGTTGCGCTGTCGTTGCTGCCTCAATGTCCTGAATCGATTAAAAATGTTTACCTTTCATGGTCATTTTGACTTTGGGGAAGAGCCAGAAGTCGCACGGTGCCAGATCCAGTGAAACAGGTGGATGAGGACACACCATAATGATTTTATTTGACAGAAATTGCTGTATTGTCATGATGGAGGATGAAACCATTTGCCCATTTCTCAGGCCATTTTCAATACCCTTTTCTAACCAAATGAGATGTTCAGATCCTCAGAAATTTCCCTAATTGTTCAATTCCCTGATTGATTGAATCATTTTGCTTGCTCTTTCAACATTCTCTTGTGTTTTCGATGTTGAAGGACGTGACGATTTCTCCTCGTCTTCAACCGATTCACGACCATTCTAAATTCGCTTGAACCACTTGTAAACTGTCTTCATGGTCACTGCAGCATCACCATAAACTAATTTTTATATTTCGTGTGTTTTTTTAGCACTTTTTTGCAGTTTGAAACAAAATTTCATGTTAATGCGTTGTTAGTGATCCATGATTTACGGCACACTTTAAAACACACCTTTTTTAACTGTAGTTCACAACAGACTGACAAGTACTACTGACAAGTAGAAACTTGTCACACGCTGTTACTAAGGTTCAACGCGACGCTTCTCGTATTCAAAATCTGTGCCTAACCGTTGGAGGGCACAAGGTGGCATCGTTCACCGTATTTTTTGATCACACCTCGTAATTGTAAATATCAATAAAAATCAATTGTGTGCGTATATATATATATATATATATATATAAATGTGTGTATGTATGTATGTGTATATATATATGTATATGTATATGTATGTATGTATGTCAGTTTACTAACTTGTAAAATAAATAAATAAAGATATAAGGAATTAAACTATTCTAACTTTATTTTCACAAGAATGATTGTCTGCCCAGCTGACCACCCTCCCATATCTAAAAAGCATGTGCCAAATTACTTGCATAGATAGAGATCATGATGCATCTATATGCACAAATATCATTCACAAAGATCAAAGAAACACAATAGCCCATAGTATACAGTATATATGAACAGAAACTAGAATTTATGAAACTATTGTGCAATTTTGGTATAACATAAGCATTATTTGCTGTGTTATAACTTGGAAAGGTCAGTGGGTAATTGGCAGGTCAGGATGTGGTCACAGTGGAACACTTGAACTATTCAGAGAGGATATAGGTTAGCCACAGGGCTAGGTGGAGCTCTTGTCAAAAGGGGGAAATAAAAATTGTTCCTGCCCAAAGAAAACAACTATGATGATTCCTGGGAAGGAACATGAGCATTATGAAATAATGTCCTCTAATCCAAATATAATATGTCACATGAAAAGCTAGGGTTATGTCTTACAATGAACTCTGGGAATGAGGTTAAAGCAGAAGTAAAGTAAAAAAATTAAAAATTGCTTGGAGGTAGGGATTTTTGGCAAAAGAGACATGCAAAGTATGGCACATCTCTAAAATGCTGTGAATAGGTCTAATGCCAGGGAGGATGTAACTCCTGGGCACATGCGCAAGATTTACATCATCCATGCCCATCCAATAGCCAAAGAAGATGCCTGGGAACCCGGAACTGGCCGATATGTTGGCAGCGGGGGACAGAGGATTCATCGCACAGCACTGGAGAAGCATAGGTAATTGTGCCAAATGCTGTACTATGCATACTTGCACATTATGGCAAAAACCCCATTCAACATACAGCAG